TTTACATAATTTCATTGATTCCACCCATTCCCCCCCCCTCGCCATTTTCTGCCTTACGATAATGTGCAAATAAATTCCAGTGAACTGGTAAACAAGAGCCAGGGCAGGACACAGCCGCGGGTGGCGTAAAGACAGAGGCGGCCTCGGTAACCGTAGGGAACGCCACCATCGTTTGTTCACCTGCTGCCTCCCCTGTTGTCATCCGGCCAGGCAAGAAGAGAAAAGAAAATGTAGTATAAGGTCACTAGATCAATTCAATATTTTGTGTTTTTTCATTTTTTAAATTCAATTCCTTACTTGACATAACTGAGAAGCCAAGGCCAATCCTCTGGCCTACCTAATACAGATGCCCAAAGAGCAAAGATTTGCTGGCTGTCAAACCACTCAACTCCTTAGGGAAGCTGCTTGGGTCCCTACAGAGAAGGAGGGAGGAGTGTTGTATTTACACAAAGGTGCCCTTAAATAACCAGATGTTTTATCACACATTTTCATCATAAATCATTTCATGATCTATTGTACTTATGTGTCACACAAGGATTTCTATTTTGATCAGAAAATCAGCATAAAAACAGATAAACCTTGCTTAATAAGTCAATGCAGAGGTAGCAAAGACTAAAACAAAACAAACCCCAAAACATTAAGAACAGAAGCTACAGCAGTTCTTATCATAAAAAGATTTTCTGGGTTGATAGAAAAGGTTCTGGTGTTGGTGACCCCCTGTGTGGGAGCCATGCCCTTGGTGTGTAGAAAAATGAGCAGCATCATTCCCGTAAGAACACAGCCAAGTCTGCTATGTTACTTTCCGCATGGGACCAGGACCATCAGGACCCCATGAGGCGCAGTCTTCACTGCCACAAAAGATACAGCCTTGCCTGCTCGCCTGCTACACAACAGCCGTCAACTGAACCCTGTGCCAAGAGCTGGCATTCACCATCACACCAGAGCAAACAACCACTTAGTCACAATCGACTCACATACCAGCCAACCCCAGTTCACACAACATGCAAGTCTCCACAAAGACATAAGGCTCTTGGCCAGCTTTACAACATTGCTTCAGTAGCCAGTTGTAGAAAAAAATGGCCCTGATGCACCTCCTTGCATTTGACCCTTGTGAGTTACCGGACACATCTGTGGAAGAAAGGATGAGCCACAGACCTATCATACCTTAAATGCTGGCATGGTGGGTGGCAGCAGGCATGGACCTCTGCCGTCAAACCATCCCGGCTTGCCCTGCCCAGGCTTCCCAGCCCATGTACTCCTCTGCACATTCAGCACACTGCTGGCCTGCCAAAAGCTTCATGCAAAGGGCAAGGACATCACAGACTCTTCCCTACAGCCTGTCCACCTCTCAAGAAAAGGAAGGGCTCTACTGTAAGCACACAGTTTGGAAGCTCTGAATTTGTTTGCCTTGGGGAAGATACTATAGGGAAATGAGAACAGAGCCTCTGCAGAAACTTCCATATAAAACTTTTGCTGTTTTATGTACTGAACCAGTAGAAACGTAAAAGGTGACAGAAACAGGGTCAGAAACCTGAATGTGGCTTTAAAGTGACTGTCATATAGACAAAGAGTATTACTACAATAACTAGTGCAAAGAAATAGACAAGAAGAACAAAAGACAAAAACAAGAGATCTCTTCCAGAAGATCGAATAAATCAAAATGAAATTAGAAATACTGAAGAGAACTGCATTATCTAACCAGAAGACAAAGTGCAAAAAGTACACGGGAGACCTATACAGAAGAGATAAAAAGATGACAGAATCATTTGAAAAGAAATCCTATGACAAACAACCTGCAGTTCTAGAAAGCAAAGTGAAAGCTGAGCTGAAAATACTGGAAGACATAAATCTCCAAGGGTAGATGGAACAGCAATAGAACTATTTCAAGCCACAGAGATTGAATCTGTCAAAATATTTAAAATAATATGCCAACAAATATGGAAAATATATACTCGGACAAGACAGAGATCCTGCAAGTGGGTGCCCCTAGTGTCTGCAAATTGGGGGCCTGCCTTTCATTTGGTGGGGCTACTCTCTCTGTGAAGAACGAGGTTCGCAGTCTGGGCATACTCCTGGACCCGATGCTACGGATGGAGTCACAGGTAGTGTCAGTGGCCCAGGTGGCCTTTTTCCATCTGAGGCGGATCACTGAGCTGCATCCCCACCTGGACACTGGGTCCCTCACTACACTGGTTCATACATTCATTGTCTTAAGATTAGACTATTGTAATGCTCTCCACTTGAGGCTGCTATGGAAACTTCAATAGGTTCAGAACATGGCAGCCGGACTACTGAGTGGAGTAAATAAATACCAACATATTTCCCCTACACTGGCCTCCTTGCAGTGGTTCCCTGTACGCCTCCTCCAGATGAGATACTACTGAGATCTGCCTGGCCTCTTTGATCTTTTCAGGCAGGGAGGTTGAGGCCACTGGCCACTAGAGGCCCACAAAGAGAAGACTAGAAACGGGGCCTTCTCAGAGGTCACTCCTCACCTCTGGAACAATCTCCCACCTGATATTCGTTTGGCCCCTGCACTGGGAATTTTTAAACAATCTTTGAAGCAGGCTTTTCTGGAACTGACATCTGAATAATGCATTCAATCTCTAGTATTCATCTCTGTTCTGTCACCTCACCTCTTAATCATTTATGTCTATGTTGATTTTATTTTACAGTGTATGTTCTAGATTTGTTTTTGATTTGTGTTAAGATTTGCTTAATTTTGAGCCCATAGTGATGGTTGCAATTTGCCCTATGTTTTTATTTAGTGTCTCAGGTTTTTTTTACTACCCAAGAGCGGCCTTGTAGCCAGATGGGTGGTATAGAAGCGGAATACAGTGGACCCTCAACTTACAGACAGCTCGAGTTACAGACTTTTCGAGTTACAGACTTCTCTGGCCGCAAAATTTAGGTTCAACTTGCAGCCGGAGAATTGACCTACAGACCAGAAAAAAACCAAAATGGAACAAAAATAGAACAAAAACAGCTGGTTACGGGATTAATCGGTTTTCAATGCATTGCAGGTCAATGGAGACTCGACCTACAGACTTTTCGACCTGCAGCCACCGTTCCAATATGGATTAATTCCGTAAGTAGAGGGTCCATTGTAAATAAATAGTTCACAGACTGGAAGCACTCAATATACAATCCAATTCCCAAGAAAGAAGAAGCCAAGGGCTGTAGTAACTAGAGGACCACTGCTCTAATTTCTCATATAAGCAAAGAGAAGGGAGAAATGCTTGATGTTCAAGCTGAATTTCAAAAAGAAACATCCAAGTCAATATTATAAATACCTGCTGGCTACTGAAGCAGACTGAGGAATTAAAGAAGAACATCCATTTATGTTTTATAGCCTACAGCACCACTGTGTGGATCATGAGAATTTTTTTTTCTGAAAGGAAATGAGTGTGCTTCAGTATTTGGTTGTCCTGATTTGTGACCTGTATGGAGGAGAAGGTACAGTTTCCTATATGCAAAGGTGTCAGACAAGAGTGCCTTTTATCCCCTTAGCTGTTCAATCTGTGCATGGAACATATCAGATGGAAAAGGAGACTAGATTCAGTCGAAGGAGGAGTGAAAGTTGGCAGAAGAAACACCCATAACGTAAGATATGCAGATGACATTGTCTAGGCAGAAAGAAGCAATGATTTGAAACAACATTTAGTGACAGTGAAAGACGTGCCAAAGCCGCTGAACGCAAAGAAGACAAAAATCATGACTGCAGAAGAACTACCTAAGTTTAATGTCATCAGTGATGAAACTGAAATTGTTCAAGACTTTGTGCACCCTGATTGAACCCCCTCGGTCCAAATGGAGACGGTAGGGAAGAAATCAGAAGACGACGAGGACGACAGAGCGACTTGGCAGGGGCAGCGAGGAAGGCATGAGGAAAGATCATCAAGCGTCAGGACGCATCCGTGGGGACTTGATCCCAAGATCCTCCACACTCTTGTGGTGTCTCCGATCACCCTGTACTGGTGGGTGTGAAAGCAGGACAGTAAAGAAAGCTGATAGGAGGGGGAGGGGGA